CGCGCCGCTCCGCCCGCCGCTGCCCCTCGCCCTCACCCAGCATGATGGGGCTGAGGCGCCGGGCCAGGCCCTTGGACAGGTCGTACACGTAGAGCTTCACCGGGTAGAGGTTCGGCGGCTCCATCAGGACCCGTGGCGGCGGCGCCCACCCAGTCCCTCGGCACCGGCAGAGGCGCGGACCTTCCCGTACACCACGGGGTGGGGAGCGGAGGGAGCGGGGGGGGGGACCGAGCCCGGGCCCGGCCTGAGGGGCGGGGGAGAGGCCGCCCAGCGCTGCTCGCGCCCCCGCGCCCGCCACCGGCAACGACTACTGTGAGGTGACAGAGCAGGGACGGGCCGGGTCCGCGCGGAAAAGGGGTGGGGACGCGCTCGCGCGCATGTGCGCACCGACCGGACGGGCGGCGGGGGCGGGGTTTCGCCGGAGGGGGCGGGGCTTCGCGGACCAGCGGCGCGAGCTGGGGAAGCGGGCGGACCGCGGGAGGAGGGGGGCCGTGGCACCTCGCGGGGGAGTGCGCGCGGGCGTGATGACGCAACGGCCGTTGATTGGGCGGAGACCCGGCGGCGCGCTAGCTCGGCGCTGCCTTCCGTCTCCGCGGAAGTGTTCGCGGCGCTCGGAGTAGGCTGGACCCGGCTGTGTGGTGCGTGCGTGGCTCGCGGCCCTGGGCTTTCTGTCCTGCCTAGTCCGCTCGGTCGTGCGTGCCTCCCTCGCCGGAGTGTGCGGACCTCAGGGGTCGAGTCGGCGTCTGGTCCCCGTCCCTTGCTCCTGGTGGAGGCGGCCCCCGGCTTTGACCCCCTCGCGCAGGAGACGGCGCTGGCCGTGGCTGGCAGAGGAGTTGGGGCGGGGGTTGGGCGGCATGAGGACACCTGGGTTCGCTAAGGCATCCGGGTACCTTGGAGCGGGAATCCCTCGTCGGGCAGGTGGGGCAGCGGGCGGGAGGGCCCCCCAGTTTGGGCGTCCCCGCACCTCCCTCCCTACATCACAGTGGCCACCCCGGGTCACTATCGACCTTGAAGCAGCCATGAGAATAGCGAGGTCGAGGCCGCTGCTGGAATGATCCCTAAGCCCACTTACCTCTGCACTACGGCTGTGGAGAACTGCAGGCAGTCCGACGCTTCACCCATGTTCCTCAGGAGTAACCTCAAGCGCATGGGACAGAGCTCGAGGGGCCTAGGAGTCAAAATCTTTTAGGTTTTAACTTGCTGATTTTAACACTTTAACCTAGTGAGCAGTAACCAGCATGTCCGGGTGGGAGTCTTATTACAAAAACGAGGACGATGACAAAGAAGAGGAGGAGGAGGAGGAGGGCCTGGAAGCAGGTGGTAAGCAACTTTGAGTGTCTTTCAGTGTGAACTTTCCCTGCGTTCTCTCGTTGAGCGCCAGTGAATCTCAAATACAGCCACTATTCCTTCACCATCGCCTCTAGGACTGGAAGTACATGTTCAGGCAACATAGTAACACATGGAACTACATACTGGTTACTTTAAATTTTGGGTAGAAAAATTTTTAAATGTTTTGATTAAAACTGAGAAGCAGGTGGCAGTCCTTCTGCACACCTGTGCAATGCAAGTGCTCCTTTTCACCTGCTCTGTGTCCCTCTGCAGGGCAGCAGTTTTCCTGCCCACCTGTGACCTCTACCTGCCTGGGCTTTTCTTTACTTACCTCCCTCAGCAGAGGCCGCTCTCCTCAAGGCCACCAGCCTGCAACCACGCAGGCCTTTCTCAGCAAACCTGTCCCTTTTGGGGCAGCTCTTCCTCCCTGCTTGTGCCTATGCAAGTGTCCTTTACTCTCATGTCTATTTTTCTAATAAACCTGCTCTCTAAACATCAAAAATAAAAAATAAAATTGAGAAACAGAGGCCTCCCTGGTGGCTCAGGGGTTAGACAGTGCTATCAAGCTGTCAGCCACCACTGCAGCACTAGTTTGATACTCAGCTGACCCATGTGGCACAGCAGACCTCCGGGTCTCCTCTGCTGCTCCCCTCAGCAGTGTATTTCAGTACACTGCCTGTTCTGCTCCCCACTCTGTCTTTGGCGAATTCTTACGCTGCCCCCCACCTTTGGTTTACACCCCAGTTCTTATATGCATAAGTAAATAAATTTTAGAAAATTGAGAAACATGTAAGAAATGTTAAAAAATAAAACTTATTGTAGTAAGCTTATGTAGTCTGCTTTAACCTGATCGCTTCCGGATTTTGGTATTTTGTTTATTCCCTTCATGTTTCCTAACTACATATATGTTTTTGTTCCCCCTTTGCTTTTGATTTTTTTTTATTACAAAGTTTATTTTTACATCATTTTGCTTTTGATTTTTTTATATACTTGTGATCATAGTGCATATACACTTGCCCATTTTCATAGAGAATGTTTACACGTCTGTAACTTGGTGTTCTGCCAGTCTTTCCTATCACATCAGCCGCCTCTCTTGTAGGCATGTATGGACTTTATAACTCATCTTAAATATGCTATAGTTTATTCACTCTACCTGCTGTTCTGCATTGCAGTTGTTTCAGTTTCTTATTTTTCCATCAAACAATCAGGAAAATTTTGCATAAGGTTTTCCACGTGTTAAGACATATTGCTGGGGTCAAGATTCTCTTTAAGGTTCTGAACACACATTGTTATATTGCTTTACAAAAGATGGGTAGTAATGTTTATTGTATGTGAGAAGCAGCAGTATCAAAATGGGAGACACACATCATATGCCTTTTTGTGAAAAACACATCACCTAGGATGTATTTTTTTTATTTAACCATTTTTTTTTACATTATTGGTTATTTTTGTGCAGTAATTGATTGCTCCACTGTGTAGTAATCATGCCAGAAAAAAAAAGCAAAACACTTGAATCTGATGAAGCCGTTCTAGATTCTGACTAGGAAAGACTATGTTCTTCTTCATCTGAAGACTGTAGCCAGCAAAATGCAGAAGCTGAATAACTATCATACAACTTCTGGTTTTTCATCAAATAAGTCACAAGAGATAAAGGGGATATCCCTCGATTTAGAGGCTTAAAAACACTTTTTAAGTCAAAGCTAGTGTTAGGATTGGTCACTTGTATGATAACCTATAAAGACAAATAAGTGATTTCCAAAAGGCAGGATGCTGGTTCCCCTTCAGGAGTGTGGGGGTGTCATTTCCAGGGACGTGAGGAGGAATTCAGTGGGGGGGGGGTTGAGGAGGGGAGCAGTAAGATTCAGTATCTTATGTGGGTGATGGTTTTAAGGATATTCACCTTATAACTCTTAGATTATACTTTTCTCTCTTTGTTTTATGTGAATGATTAACATGAGAAATATGACCACAGGGCAGATACGACTTTTCTTTTTTCTTCCCTGTAGGAGAACATAAATATTCAGGAAGAGACAGCTTGATTTTTTTGGTTGATGCTTCTAGGGCCATGTTTGACTCTCAGGGTGAAAATGAGCTGACTCCTTTTGACATGAGCATCCAGGTAAGACTGCCTTTTTATTTAATTAAGGAGAACAAGTGGGGTCTCCCTGGTGGTGCCAGGGTTAAAGTCTCAGTGCTATCAAGCTATTGCCAGCTACTGTTGTATGAGTTCGATTCCCGCCAGGGAGCGACCCACAGGGCACAGGAGCAGACCTCCTGTCCTCCCGCTGCTCCCCTCCAAAGTGGATTTCAGTAGATCTGCCTGCTCTGCTCTCCACTCTGTTTCAAGTAAGTCCTCTTACTCCTGTATTTCATGACCTACACCCTAGTTCTTGTATGTATAAATAAATAAATCTTTAAAATTGAACAGATATACCTCCCTCAAAAGTATTAACAACACTTTTTTTTTTTTAAAGATTTATATGTGCATACAGAACTGGGGTATAGGTCAGAGGGGAGGTGAGAGGCTTCACCAGAGACAGAGCGGGGAGCAAAACAGGATGATTGACGAGGCCACTGCTGAGGGGAGCAGTGGGTGTGTCAGGAGAGGTCTGCCGCGCCATGTGGTCAACTCCCTGACCAGGAATCAAACTCGTGTTGAAGTGGCTTTAACTTCATAGTGCTGTGCTTTAACCCTCTGCCACCAGGGAGGGCCCTAACACCACTTTCATAAATATGGATTCTGATAAATATGTTTATGAATGATAAGCAGTACCTGTCCTTGCAGCTGAAAAAGAGCAGCAGTATTAGAGCATAAGCCCATTTTGTTTTTGGTGTGGACTGGGACCCTTGGTAAATACACTGCTCCCACCTTCTGTGTTAACTAACCTTGTATTAGAAGTAGATTCTTCCTTCTGTAGAGATGGGGGTGTTAGGGGGGGAAGGAAATACCCGCAGTTATGGTACAGAAGTAAGCCCTTTTGCAGGTGATACTTTGAAGTTGGTTGAAAAGAGAATCACAACAAAGACTAACTAATTTTAAGATGCCAGAGGGGGCCTCCCTGGTGGCACAGTGGGTTACAGCACAGCACTGCAAGCTGGCCACAGCCACTGTGTGTGCATGCAACTTTAGCCCCGGCCTGGAGGTGACCCACAGGGTGCAGCAGACCTCTCCTGTCTCACTTGCCGCTCCCCTCAGCAGGGTACTTCATCAGTCTGCCTGTTCTGCTCCCCACTCTGTCTCTGGTGAATCCTCTCACTGCCCTTGCACCTCTAGCCTGTACCCCAGTTCTGTATGCATAAATAAATAAATCTTAAAAAATAAAATAAAATGAGCAGAGGACTTGAATAGACACGTCTTTAAAGATATACATATGGCCAGTAAGTATATGCTGAGATGCTCAATGCCTTTAGTCATTAGAGAAATGCAAGTCAAAACCATCACGATACACTACCTCACACCCACTAGGATGGCTATAATTTATAAAACCAACAGAAAAAAAAATGAGGATATTAAAATGTGTTGGTAAGGATGTGGAGCCCTGAGAGCTCTTGTTTATTGCTAGTATGAATGTAAAGCAAATCGGCTTCTGTGGAAAACACACTGGCAGTTTCTCCTAGGTAAACAGAACCAGCAAATGACCCGGCATTTCCGCTCCTAGGCATATACATACCCATTAGGATCAAAAACGGCTACTTAAGTCCCAAGTCTGCTACTTACAGATTGTGAGATGTTAAAGAGTTGCTGTACCTATTGGGATTTTTCTTCATCTATAAAATAAAGAACATTTTCTTTAATAGTATCTATCTCACTTAGTTGGGGAGGTTGGATCTTTCTGTTTTTTAAATTGAGGTGTAATTTTCAGTGCTGTACAACCACTGTATCTCATTCTAAAACATTTTGAGCGGACAGAGTGATTTTTACACACAATGGACTATTACTCAGTCATGAAAAAGATTCATTGTACTGATTCATACCACAAGGTGATTCAGCTTTAAAAACATGTTAAGCGTAA